ATTATATTTAATTTTTAAACTAAAATTTGTGGTATTTAAAGGTGATGTTTAAAAAAGAAAGAAAGAATGACAATATTTCCCATTGTATCGTCTATTAAATTCCAAAACAATTTTCGATAAATACAGTTTTGTGTTTTTTCAATGTATATTTCCAATAGTGTATTTTACTCATGTAAATTTTTTTTGGATTATAATTTTGATCAATTTAATAAAACTACGAAATATTCTAAAAGTTTACCTTTGAAATTATTTTAATATCTACTATTAAGAGTTAAGTGTTGAGAATTTCAAATAAAGTTCGACTTGATAAGTAAATTTTAATTTACATACTTTAAAAATTATAACTGTTTGTTATTTTTCCGGCAACATATTGTGTATAAGTTCTAAGTTTTATTTTATAGCAAAGGTCAAAATAGTTGCATTTTCCAGTACGAGTATAGAAAATACAAAAATAAACATGAATTCTAGTAATTATAACTTTCTCTTTTTAGTATCTCACAATTCGAGGGATGCAGTTCACCGCTATCAAGTAATAGGCATTACTTTTTATTGGCCTGCGACTCGTTGTTTCATGATTGGTTACGCAGGGATTAGTGGGGATAGGAACGCGATATCAAAGGAGTTGACAAAATGCGACGCTATGATAAAAATACTGTGTGCTGTTATATAAAATAATATGTATACAGTAAATTGATTAGATAATGTTCGTTATTTTGTACTTAGTATTTTATACTTAACGCTTAAATTAACGTTTTGTATCTCTTTTAGATACGCGCCAGGTTTTCAAACTAGTATTATGTGCATAGTGGCCACACTGTTTTGTATACGGTTGCGTAGTGGGTCGTGCAACACTGTCAGAATCAACCAATGACATTGCATGTTTAGAATTCAAATTTGATGTAAACTTTACATTACACACCATGTGAACGGAAAACCAGTACAATACAAATCAAAGTCTGGAATCACAAATATCAACTTTGTAGTTTTACAAACGTGTTGTGTATTGTATACATTTGACAATGCTTTCGGGTCAACAAAGACTGACCAGTTCTCTAGAGTCTTTAATAACTCTTAGGAAATATTATATCGTTTAAGAATGGTTAATATTTTTATGTGACGTTAGATTGTGCATGCTACGATTACAATTTCACTTGGGATTGCTGAAACAATTAGTGTGGTTTGTTTACAATTGGAAGAATGTCGAATCTTTCGACGAAAGATACGACAGAGTTGAATACCATGGATTTCCAAAATCACACAAACTCGCGACCAAAATTTCAACCGATACGCGTGAAAGAGCTATTACATTTTTATGAAAGTGATGATGATGAAAGCGAAGATAAAGCACAGGATTCTGATACTGAATCAGATGTTGATGAGCCTCAGCCTTTGCCACAAGATGATAGTTTTGAAAATAAGTTAAACGAATCATTACCTTTACCTAATACGAAGTATGATACTAATTTACAACCAACTGGTAAAACTTCATCTGTAAGTGCAGCCTCAAAACCAATTGAACCTTTGTTGGTCTGTAACAACGTAGAATATAAACCAAACAACAAAACTGCAGAAGTACATATCTCTGTACATAATTATTTTGATAATGTAGATTCATATGATAGTAAATACAAAGATATAAAACACGATAGTCACAGTTCAACACGCTCTGTCAATGCGGAAGTTGATACTGATAAGAAATGTGAACACAAAATATCACAACAGTGTTCAAAACTACATGAAAATGAATATAATACAAAAGATGAAAAACACATAAAATGTGAGCAACCAAATCATATACAATCAAATTGTGAAAATACTTATGCTCAAAATAGGCGTAAAAATATACATATGGTTAATGCAGATATTAGGAGACAGTCAAACAAGGAACAGGCATGTAAAGGTGATGTTCAATCTATAGACAAATGTAAAGCAAATAACAATGAAGTTGACTCTATAGTTTTTGGATCTCAGCATTCTGAAAATATATCACAATCTGGAAGTTGTACTTTGCAGAATACAAACATAAAAGTGGAAAAATTGGATTCTAAAGCAGCAGATACAGAAGATAATAAATTAGGAATATTAGAGAATGATACATTAATAAATTCCATTGATCATTTGGTGCTCCAGACTCCTCTAAAACACGTACCTTGTTCTTTGCATCCAGATCCATGTTTCTCTCGCAGAAATATTGCTCAAACTCCGCAAAGTAAAGCATTTGAAACAAAAAGTCTTGGATTAACACCAGCCACAGTTTCAAGCCATATGTCTTTTAATAACATTAGGCAGACCCCATTGCAAGGTAAAAATGTTAAAATTAAAGACACTATGCAGACACCCAAAAATTCTGTTTACTTCACTCCAAGCATAACTAAACGTGAAACTCCAAGGTATAAAATTGATCTGAAATATGTATGTCTACTATGATTTATTCCTTAAAATAAGATTTAATTGCAGGTATTTGAATTCAGAGACTAAACGTAAACAGCCTTTAGCAGATATGGGAAGTTATGTACATAGCAATGCTTCAAATAGACATCTGTTAGAAGGATTTCAATTATCTAAAGTAAATGAAGAAATGCCTACTATTGAAAATCGAAGATGCAATAAGAATTTAAATCAAAAAACAAGTATAAGCGAACGAACGTTTGAAGCATCCGAAAATCCTGCACAATTGGATTCAGGTACAAACGAACAGGTAAAGGAAAATAAGTACCCAAATACAGAAGATAAAGAAGCAAAACTACAAAAAATGTTACCAGAATCAGCATGTGGTTCTCGTTTTAATAAGGAGAGCAAAGATACTCTGAAACAGATCAGTAGTAATTCTCAAAATCAATATCTGACAGTTAATAATCAAATTCAACAGCCAGAGCCAAAGAGATCCATGGACACTGTACCGAATGTACAGTTTTCGATACCACCTAATGTTCTCAAACCAAAGCACTCTAGAACAATTTTTGTAAAAGGAAAAGAGTACTTAATTTTAGGTTTGCTTGGTCAAGGAATGAGTGGAGAAGTTTTAAGAGTACAAGATTTATCTTCTCTCGAACTGTGCGCTATTAAATGTGTATATCTTAATCGCATGGACAAGGATTCGGCTCAGGGATGCTTGGAAGAAATTTCAATGCTGCATAAATTACAAGCACCATGCATTGTTAGAATGTTCGACTAGTAAGAAATTATTTTGTAAACATATATTCCAGGTGCATACATGTACTGACGTTTACATTTAAGCTTTTTATTGCAGTGATATCAAGTATCCCATGGTATACGTGGTAATGGAAATGGGAGATACTGATCTCAGTCGACTCCTAAAAACGATGTCGCAAGAGAGACACATTTCTCTTACAATGGTTCTTTATTATTGGACAGAAATGTTAACAGCAGTCAAACATATACATGATAATGGTAAATCTCCTAGAGTAGATGCAAATGATTATCTTACTGTGAGAAACATCTTTAGGTGTTTTTACATCTTCCAGGGGTAATTCATTCTGACTTAAAGCCAGCAAACTTTTTATTAGTAAAGGGAAGATTGAAGCTTATAGATTTTGGAATTGCTTCAAATATGAATGCAGACATGACATCTGTTGTAAAAAACTGTCCAATAGGTACCCTGAATTATATCAGCCCAGAAGCATTAATGGACATTGGAGGAAGTTCAGATTCTCCTACGCAAAATGTCAAGTACAAGGTATATAAAATTAATTTTTGCAATTAACTAGTTAATAATTATGATAACATATGTATGTAATGCATACATATTCATTGCAGATTACTTTTAAGTCAGATGTGTGGTCGTTAGGATGCATATTGTATAGTTTAGTGTATGGTCATACACCATTTCATCATATTCGTTCACAATGGGCTAAAGTGAACGCAATCACCAATCCGAAACTAAACATTTCTTTTCCTACAACGTTACCGTCGAGAGAAGATCATGCCGAAGTTTTACCGACGCCACCAATACTGATCGATGTGATGCGTAAATGTCTTCAACACGATCCAAAAACACGACCAACGGTAGCCGACCTTTTGCAAGTTGACTACGTGCCCACCAAACAAGAGTGTCTATTAGCACCAATGCCACGCATCCCAGGCCATATATTGGTGAAAATAAAATATGCTTTAGAAGATGATGAATGGCGGGAATTGACACGGGTTCGTAAATTCTTTTATACATTATATTATATTATAAACAAAATAATTATTTAGACAATATTTCGGTTACCTAGCATAGCGTACACAAGTAGACATATTCAAATAATTAAAAATGATAATTATTTTGATGTTTTAGGTTTTGGAAAATAAACGGTATCCATAACACTATCCGGATTAAGTACTATTAATTATGTACATACAATTTTTTTATACATAACAATCGGCAATAATACATAGGGTGCTTATTTAAATGTATTATAGTAAGGGATTTATTTAAATACTGCTTTAAAATATAAAATTGTATCATGATACAACTATATTGTAGAATCTACTTATGCTTACCTGAATGTCATTTACCAAGTAGATATTACAATTTCGAATGAAACACGCGAGATCTCTATTAAATTAAAATATCTTTCACTTTATTACCACACATCCATGCATACAAATGGCTCCATTTAACAAAACTGGTAGTATTCACAAGTAGCTACTATGCTAGATAGCTGCACGATTGGAAATCTAAAAATATGTATCTACAGGTTACTCGTGAAAGAATGTATTCCGAATCAATTCCTTTACAATTAGGTTTAGATTTTAAATAATACAAAAGTATGCAATATCATCGTATTACACGTTTTCTTAAGGTATAAATAAACGCGGAAACTTCTGTTTCATTTCTTTGCGTCTTTTTGCTTGTTTTTGTTCATCGAAATTACACATTTTCGCTCGACAACAGTGCATATTGTACGACGTTATGCACACGGGATGCATAATACAAATGTTGTCAGTCAGTGCATTGTCGTTAACTGCCAATACTGTAGTAATCTTTCACCTTTCGGTAATGCCATAGAATTGGGCCTCTCAAATGTCAACATAATATCTTTAACTTTGTTTTTTAATTCACGATCGAATAGATACCCTCCGGTGCGTTCTAGTGTCGATGCCATATTGTATTCAACTGACGGAAGTGGTTCGCGAATAAAGCGAGCAGCGCTTGCGATACTTGGTATGATATGCCATTGAAGGGCTTTGATTTCCCAAAGACTACTAAAGAGAGCATTACTTAACAATGGATCTCGTTCTTCCATTAAGAATGGATCTCCGGCACCATTACTCTCCTCTGTTGTAATTTCTCCACCTTGTGGATGATCAATCAGCCGTTTTAGCCCAGGATGTCTAAGCAGAAGATTACCAACAAAATGTAATATGATAAGAATATCTTCGGGAGGGGCAACAAGAGTCAAACGCGCTAGTCGTTTGGCAAAAGCAGCAACTAATGCTTCAGGTAAGTGCCTAGAAATAAGTAGAAACACATTGTAATCTCGATATAATTATGAAGCAACATATATATCTTATATTACCACGAATACTTACGTTGAACTAAGAAAAAGATCGGATAAATAAAATAAACGAGCTTTATACTTTGTATGAAAGATTTCTGGTTCGAACATAGAGTAAAGTTTGGTAAATATATTCGGGTATTCCAAGTTGTGTTTGGTAACTAGTAAAAATACTCCTTGTAATGCGAGTAAGGCAATAGGTCCATCCGCATCCAAAGAATCCATAAGGAAGTCTGTTAATAGAACAGGCTTATCTAAATGTGGCATCACCCGTTCCAACAGAACTACCAATAATTGCTTATGCAACTGTGGAGTTAATTCCCAATGCATAACGCAAACCCAAACTTTATTAAGCGCGCGTCTAGATCCTGCTTGATCCCATACAAAAGTTCTGCTGTCTGGTAATAAGAAAATGGAGCATAAAAATGATGGTACACAGTAATGAATACTAGTGCAAGGAAATTATAAAGATGTAAGTTATTCTACCTTGTTGTGTACTACACAGCAAATTTTTATCTTCAGACATTTCATACTCTGAAAAACGAATCACATCATTTTATGTTTTTCTGGAAATCATATAAAATCATAATAATTACTATCAACCAATTTGTACCTTCGCTTTTCTTTGGCAATGGTGATTTGTGTATAAGCTCTAATAAATTTTTTATATAAGTTCCATGTGGTTGCCGTTTAGGAGTCAAAGAGGGAAGACATTTCCAAGTATAATAAAGAGCATCAGGGTACTCTGTAATTTCTTGAAATCTAGATATTAAGTTGACATTGTCTTTCTCAGGTGCTAGTAAGCTCATTAAGATAGGTTTTAATCGATGAAGTGGAAAATAATATCCTAAATTATCAGTTGGTTCCAATGGATATCTTCCTTCCTCTGCCATCAGTTTTATAGCAGTGGTGAGAGCTTGTAGTTGAATGACAGGTCGACATTTCTCTATCGATAGCAGTATTTTTTCCCATATTTCTTCATAACAGTTTCTCAACCAGTTGATGTATCTTGCTTCCGGACTTGGCTCTGTTTCAGAAAGCCCATGAAAAATCTATTTTGTGTTCTTAAATATTTGCAACATCGAAATGTTGTGTATCGCGCTTAAATTTTGTGGCCAGACAAATATTTTCACAAAATATGAGTGCATGGTAAGTTTATTACAACGATATTAGATGGAAAATTCAAGGGATGTGTATGTTGTTAAATATCAGAGAACAAAAAGTTACTAAAATATTCGAACGTACCTGAAATCGTAAGAGCTATCGTACGTTCAAGATACATGTCGCCTCTTCTCAAAACCTCGACGAATATTGTCTCTATTGTGAGCAGACAGGATGAAGTGGATTCCTGATGAACAGTGATCAAGAGTTTTAACAAACGACATAACCTTGAAAATTCAATGTATTCGTTCAATTGAAATGATTTTAAAATTCGAACTTACGTCCCATTGTCCTATTATGTCTACTAAATTGTTCGCGTATTTTCTCGAGGATAAAAACTCCTGCGCTTTTTGCCTTAACACTTTCGACGACATCTTCTGTCCAGAAGAAGCGCCGGAAAGATCTGCTGCTTCCGCCATCGTCGTCCACGAAGGATTTGCTAATGGCAGATATCACAACGTATTGTACTGCGAATGTGTTCTCTTGTATTCTTATTTCTGCTTCCAATTACTGTGTATGAAATAAGACCTAAAACATAGGAAAACTTGAATCGTAATTCTGTGTTCTGACTCGATCGGCTGTATGAGAAATCGATAGGTGTGTTGTAGATTGTAGTCAATGTTATCCGTACCATTTTCGCCGTTTGGTTATCGTTTTCAGTTTTATGAGACTGGTTGTCAATCTGTATACAAACATATCATACGCACGTAATTTTCAAGTTTCTCAACAAGTTCTGTTAACGTGTGTTGCCCTGCTACGAGTTTAAGGCAAGGAACATTTATCCTCAACAACTTTAACATAACGATATCCTGTAAGTAAGTGTTGCACATTATTATTATATTCGTACAGATACAGAATTCTATACACGTATTTTTGTAAATTATTTCTACAAACTACCAGAGGTTTTACATTCGGTATATATTTTCTAAAATAATAAGTCACTATTATTTGTTACTGTTATTATCATAGACGGATTCTAACCTATAAACTCTTGAAACTGTTTGCAATATAGGAGCAATAAAAATTACATCTACATAATTAATATCCTAAACAATATTTTTCTTGTCTTTGTATAATAGAAAATGTTAGAAATAACATGCAATGACCGTCTTGGGAAAAAGGTTAGAGTCAAATGTAATCCAGACGATACGATAGGCGATTTAAAAAAATTAATAGCTGCCCAGACTGGAACACACTGGGAAAAAATTGTTTTAAAGAAATGGTATACCATTTTCAAGGATCACATAAAATTACAAGATTGTATCCTTTGAGATTACGTATACTTTTATATTGTCACACGATGTAGCCAAATTTTTAACATTTTTCCTTAATTTAATAATTCAGATGAAATTCATGATGGAATGAATTTAGAACTGTATTATCAATAATTAATAAATAAATTAATCTTATACAAATCACTGTTAAATATAAACACAATAACAATAATAACTTTTATATTTAAGCACTTCATGATTTTATATCCTATGTAATATTTAAATATACAATGTATATAACTATATAATAAACAAATATCGCAGCAGCAAAAATAATTTTTTATATTATTGTTGTCAATTAATATTCATATTACACAAACCTTATTGTTTATAATTGTTATTTAACACCTAAACTTTTGCTAAAATATTTTTACAAATTTATTCTATATAATATAGCCTTCTGCACACAGTAAAATGTATTATATTAATATTTGATATTAACACTTTGTACCTAAGGTTTTGGATTGTTTAACAGTAGTTATGAATTTATACATTTGCGAACAGTGTTAAAATATAACGAAAAAATAGATCATTGCATATATTCCAAAAATCTCATTATATCACC